GAGCCCTGTGGGACACCACTCGTGACTGGACACCAGCTGGATTTAGCTCCATTCCCCACCACTCTCTGGGTCCGTCCCTCCAGCCACTTTTTAACCCAGCAGAGGGTATTCCCATCCAAGCCATGGGCAGCCAGTTTCTCCAGGAGGATACTGTGGGAGACTGTATCAAAGGCTTTGCTGAAGTTCCCCCCAGTTCAACAAACACATCCTCCCAAATCCAAACCACAGCACTGCATCAGGTGCCAGCAGGGGAGTCACCTCCATCCCAGCCGAAACCACACCACCACAATCCTGCTGAGTAACTGCAAACTGCCTCCATCCCAGCCGAAACCACACCACCACAACACTGCTGAGTAACTGCAAATGATGGATCTAGTTCATAGGCAGTATGGAAATACGGGGAATGCTCTCATCACATTTCTCATATTTTCTCCAAACCGTGATTTTCTATCCCAAAAAAAGATATTATCACCCCCTTTTATTATTTTGATCCAGTGGATTTCTTAATTAACTGTAATTAAATTATTGTATTGTCAGCTTCTTGTCTCTGCTGACTGCTTTCTATGCATAGAAGAAAAAAAATAGCCTCGGGATCTAGAAAAGCAATAAATCATTATTTAAAAGTTAACTGGAGGGATCGAATAGTTTCTTACCATCAGAAATAATTCCAATTTGGGCACAGATATTAAAAGTAAATACATTCTTCAACAAATTTATAGAACAGAAAAATATAAATTGAAATATATTTAATTTTAGAGAAAAAATATATTAATATAATATGTAGGGAAGATAATGTAAGAGTTTAAAAGTGTTATTCTTTAAAGCAGCGAAAAAGCCCTTTATACAAACACCTACACCACTGATATATTATTCATTCTCCATAACAAATGAGAATAATCAGGGGACAGAAATAGACACACGAGACAAAAATGCATCAGACACATTCCCAGTCCCAGATCCTACCGCAGCTTAACCTACTATTATCTAAAGGAAAGCTCCAGAGACTACTGCTGGTTTAAAACTTAATGGCCAGGAAGGGATGCCATCCAGAGGGACCTGGACAGGCTGGAGAGATGGGCTCGTGCAAATTGCATGAGGTTTAACCAAGCCAAGTGCAGGGTCCTGCACCTGGGACGTGGCAACCCCAGGCACAAATACAGGTTGGGTGGAGATTGACTGGAGAGCAGCCCTGAGGAGAAGGACTTGGGGGTGTTGGTGGATGAGAAGCTCAACATGAGCCGGCAGTGCGCGCTGGCAGCCCCGTGTCCTGGGCTGCATCAGGAGAAGTGTGGCCAGTAGGTCTTGGGAGGTGATTCTGCCCCTCTACTCTGCACTTGTGAGACCCCACCTGGAGCTCTGTGTCCAGCTTTGGAGTCCTCAACACAGGAAGGACATGGACCTGTTGGAATGGGTCCAGTGGAGGGCCACGAGGATGATCAGAGGGATGGAGCACCTCTGCTGTGAGGACAGGCTGAGGGAGCTGGGGTTGTTCAGCCTGGAGAAGAGGAGGCTCCGGGGAGACCTTCTAGCGGCCTTTCAATACCTGCAGGGTGGGTGTTCAAGGCCAGGCTGGATGGGGCCTTGAGCAACCTGGTCTGGTGGGACGTGTCCCTGCCCATGGCAGGGGGGTTGGAACCAGATGATCTTTGAGGTCCCTTCCAACCCAAACCATTCTGTGATTCTATGATTCTATGATTCCAAGAACTTCCCTGTGGGAAGTGATTTCCCTCCCGCGCTGTACGGAATTTGGCCTAACGTCACCATTGCAACCACGAGAGCCACGCTGCCCAAGGAGAACGGGAGGTACCTTTCATCTTACGACAGGACTTGATGGAATTGTAAATGAACATTGAATTTCAGCAATCCCAGCAGTGCACATCCCTGGCTGTTGTGGGTTTTATCTTTCAGCCTAAGCTTTCCCTCTGTAAAGTGGGAACAGTAATTCGTTGTCTAATTTCCTTTCTCTTTTGGGGTGGGCTGACCCTGGCTGGACACCAGATGCCCAGCAATGCTGTTCTATCACCCCCCTCCTCAGCTGGACAGGGGAGACCAAATGGAACAGAAAAGCTCTTGGGTGGAGATGAGGCCATGGAGAGATCACTCACCAGTTACCATCACAGGCAAAACAGACTCAGGTTGGGGACAATGAATTTCATTCCTTACCAATCAACTGAGAAAGACAATGAGAAATAAAACCTAAATCTTAAGCCACCTTCTTCCCAATCTCAACTTCACTCTTGATTTTCTCTTCCTCCTCCCTGCCAGCAGTGCAGGGGGGGCTGTGGTCAGTCTCTTGATTTTCTCTTCCTCCTCCCTGCCAGCGGTGCAGGGGGGGCTGTGGTCAGTTCATCACACGTTGTCTCTGCCAAACCTTCCTCCTCAAGGGGAGGACTCCTCACGCTCCTCCCGTGCTCCACCGTGAGGTTCCTCCCACAGGAGACAGCCTTCCATGAACTTCTCCAACGTGAGTCCTTCCCATGGGCTGCAGTTCTTCACTAACTGCTCCAATGTAGGTCCTTCCACAGGGTGTAGTCCTTCAGGAACAGACTGCTCCAGCGTGGGTCCTCAACGGGGTCAGAAGTCCTGCCACCAATCCTGCTCCAGCCTGGGCTCCTCTCTCCACCGGGCCCTAGGTCCTGCCAGGAGCCTGCTCCAGCGTGGGCTCCCCATGGGGTCACAGCTTCCTTTGGGCATCCACCTGCTCTGCTGTGGGGTCCTTCATGGTCTGCAGGTGGACATCTGTCCCCTCTTTAACCTCTGTGGGTTGCAGATGGACAACCTGCCTCACCACGGTCTTCACCCTGGGCTGCAGGGAAATCTCTGCTCTGGAGTGTAGAGCATCTCCTCCTCTTTCTCATCCTCCTCCTCCTCCTTCTTCTTCACTGACTTTGGAGTCTGCAGAGTTGT